CGTGGGGTCTTAATGTCCAGATCCTGACCTCTTAAAGGATTTGCTGGCAGAGCACAATCTCTGGTAAATGTTGCCAGACTGGAAAGTACAGGTCCAAGTGACAAATTGTGGCTTTTTGTTTGGTCAGGTTAGCTAAGCATGGGCAGTCTAATCACCAGAATAATGATCAACAGGGGAATGAATAATAATAGCCAACATTTATATAACACTTTAAGATTTGTTAATTGGACAGTACCTGTAACATACTAAGTACTCAATAATTGCTTGTTGTGCCCTGCACCCCTCACCTCCATCTTTCTCTGTCTCTCTATTATCCCCTCCATTTTATAAGAAACTGAGGCTGAAAAAGGTTAAATGACTTGCCCAGTGTTGCATGTAAATGTGTGAGACAGGATTCGAACTCACATGCTCCTGACTTCAAGTCCAGCATTCTGAGCACTTACTCTACAGAAACTCAAACCACCCACCTGGATAAGGAAGTGATGTGATTTCTATTATACATGCTCTTCTGGTCCAAGACAAGAAGCTCAGGGAGTGGCTGAGGCATTTAATCCTAACATTTTCTAAAGTTGAGATCCCTAGTACTAAGCATAGTTTCAAAAATTGAGGTCAGTTTTAAAAATGGAAGGCATTCATACTCTGATGAAATGGCAGGTTTTTTGAAGTGTTGAAGTATTTCATATGCATCTGTAGCACCTTGTTCAGCTACTCCTAGGTTCAAGAGTTCTGTTTTGCAATGATAACTTTTCTAATTGTGGTTCAAACCCTGACCCAATGTATCACTCTTGCTAGGAATAACAGAAGCATGTAAATTCAGTTGTAAAATGATTTGAATATATTTCAAAATTTGAAAATTCAATAAAGCAAAATAAACTGCAAGGAAATGAATCAAGCAGAAAAACATTCTTAACCCCATACATAAAGGAGTGCAAATCTATACCTTTATAGGAGTTATATACTTCTCTTATATCCCCTCTAATTTTTTAGCGTAGTGGAAGGGAACATTCACCTTTTACTTGTAGGCCAGAGATAGATGCTTAGCATACTCTTCAGCCTAATTCTTAAAGCTTCTTTCTTGGGTCTGGCCAAAGAATTATGATAATTTTTATGTCAGCTCTGCAGTCATCCCAGAGTTCTAGAAATGGCCTTCAGAATGCCATGACTGCTTCACATGTAATTATCTTCCTCTAAACTTCAGTACCATACCAAACTACCAAAAATTTTTTATAGAGCTAGAAAAAATAATAGCAAAATTCATCTGGAAGGACAAAAGTTCCAGAATATCAAGGGAACAAATAAAAAGAAATTCAAGGGAAGGTGGCCTAGCCCTATCAGATCTTAAATGGTATTATAAAGCAGGATTCATCAAAACTATTTGGTACTGGCTAAGAAACAGAGTGGTGGATCAGTGGAATAGGTTAGGTATGTAAGACACAAGAGTCAATGACTATAGAATCTGCTATTTGATAAGTCCAAAGACTCCAGCTTCTGGGGTAAGAACTCTACTATTTAACAAAAACTACTGGGAAAACTGAAAAATAGTATGGCAGAAACTAGGCATAGACCAACATCTTACACTCTATACCAAGATAAAGTCAAAATGCGTACATGATTTAGATATAAAGGCTGATACTATAAGCAAACTGGGAAAGCAAGGAATAGTTTATCTGTCAGATTTATGGAGGATGGAAGAATTTATGACCAAACAAGAGTTAGAGAACATTACAAAATGTAAAATGGATAATTTTTATTACATCAAATTGAAAAGTTTTTGCACAAACAAAGCCAATGCAACCAAGATTAGGAGGGAAACAGAAAGCTGGGAAAAAATTTTTACAACCAATGTCTCTGATAAAGGCCTCATTTCTAAAATATATAGAGAACTGAGTCAAATTTGTAAGAGTACAAGTCATTCTCCAAATGAGAAATGGTCAAAGGATATGAACAGGCAATTTTTAGATGAAGAAATTAAAGCTATCTATAGTCATATGAAAGATGCTGTAAATCACTATTGATTAGAGAAATGCAAATCAAAACAAGATATCGCATCGTACCTATCAGATTGGCGAATGTGACAAAACAGGAAAATGATAAATGCTGGAGAAGATGTGGGAAAATTGGAACACTAATGCATTGTTGGTGGAGTTGTGAACTGATCCAACAATTCTGGAGAGCAATTTGGAACTGTGCCCAAAGTGCCGTAAAAATGTGCATGCCCTTTGACACAGCGATACCACTTCTAGGTCTGTATCCCAAAGAGATCTTACAAATGGGAAAAGGACCCACATATACAAAAATATTTATAGCAGCGCTTTATGTAGTGGCAAAAAATTGGAAATTGAGGGGTTACCCATTAGTTGGGAATGGCTGAACAAGCTGTGGTATATGACTGTAATGGAATACTATTGTGCTAAAAGAAATGATGAACAGGCGGACTTTAGAAAAACCTGGCAAGACTTATATGAACTGATGCTGAGTGAAATGAGCAGAACCGGGAGAACGTTGTACACAGTAACAGCCACATTGTAATTTTGATAGACTTATCTCTTCTTGGCAATGCAAGGATCTAAGACAACTCAAAGACTCATAATGGGAAATGCAACAAGGTGGCGCAGTGCATAGAGCACCAGCCTCAGACACTTGATACTAGCTGTGTGACCCTGGGCAAGTCACTTAACCCCATTGTCTAGCCAAAAAAAAAAAAGAAAAGAAAAAAAGAAAATGTTGTCCATACCCAGAAAAAGAACTATAGAGTCTGAATGCAGATAGAAGCATATCATTTGCTCTCTCTCTCTCTCTTTTTCCTTTTTTTTTTTTTGGTTTCTTCTTTCTCATGGTTTCTCCCATTGGTTCTAACTCTTCTTTACAATATGACTAATGTGAAAATAGATTTAATATGAATGTATGTGTAGAGCCTATATAAAATTATGTGCCATTTTGGGGTGGAGGGAGGGGAGGGATGAGGAGAACATTTGGAACTCAAAATCTTATGGAAGTGAATATTGAAAACTAAGAATAAATAAATTAATTTATGAAAAAAAAAAGAAAGAGAGTTGCCTTACAAACGAAATTTTATAGCCATTGGGAAGGGGGCAAGAAGTCTGAACATTGTCAGTCCCACTACTGCTGGAGTTGCTCAGACAGTGCATGTCCATTGATGGGGGATTGTTGGTTAATAGGAGATTGTTGGTCTGACAGTCTTCCTGCCACCTCCTCACCCCACCATGTTTACCATCTAGGAAGAGTCAAATGTGCTATATGAGCGCTTTGTGTGTTTGTCTCTCTATAGGTTCCCGTGAGCCCTAGGCATCTTATACATTTTTTGTGGGCACAAAATAAAAGCTTCCCTGTTCCAAATACTTATATTGGACCCTGAATATCTTTGTGAATACTGGGGATCCATTATACCATTTAGGGAAACTTAGACAAGATGTATACTGTCAATGCATTTGGAGAGTTTCTTGCCAAAGTCCCAGTGGAGGCAATAAGAAAAGAGAAAAAAATGATCCTTTCAGGTCAGCCCCAGGGTCAAATCTGGTCCACGTGAGCACAGAGCCTTTAGTGGGGCTCTGTGTCATGGGTAACATCTGAAACAGAAGTCCAGAGAGGGGAAATTACTTATCCAAGGTCACTTAGCTAGTAAAAGAGTCTGGATTAGAACCTAGTTAGCTAGGGTACTTATTGTTTTTAATTCAGGTGCTTTGTTCCAAGAGCACACAGACAGCAATAACAAAATTTATATTATTCATTTGTTTGCAGAACATGAATCAGGGATCAGATCCATGGGGACTTAAGGAAAATGAAAAGAAAACTATTTTAAAACCAAGGTCAGAACAAGTACTCCTGTGGCAACCTTCTTTAGTCAGGGGTAAACAAGGCTGCTCTATTTGGCTCAGGACATTCATCGATGTGAAAACAAACATCTGTAGCAGTTCAATTTGTACCAGTTCTATCACAATCATCAAAAAAAAAGGCTCCATTAGGAAGCCAAGCAACATGTCATTAGGCAGGTAGAAAACATTTAAATCCAACAGTTAGTGTTTCCATTTGCATTTTAACTCTTAACTCTGCCTTTGTTTTCTCCTCTTTCAGTAGGCTGGGAAACAATCTGTTGTCAGAGTATCGCATTCAGTGTGATGCAACAAATGTACCTACCACTGGAAGGGCTGATGTTCGGCATAGTATTTCTACTGTATATCTATATCTGCATCTATATCTTTATCCATATCCACATCTTTATCTATATATAGACTTGTCTTTAGTTATATCTAGATCTGTATTGATATCTGTGTTTTATCTCTATATTCGCATGGATAACTTTATCCATATTTATATCTTTGCCTCTACCTCCATCATCTATATACCTACTCTCTATCTTTTTCTCATTCTCTTAGTCTCTACTTTTTATCTCTTCTGTCTAGATCTCTAGATAGATTGATAGATTAAGCATAAGTCAGTCTTGTGCTAAGTGCTGGGAATACAATCAAGACAGTCCTGCCCTCAGGGAATTTGCTTTCTAATGGAGGAAGACAAACAGCTCAAAGGGAGGTATAGTGGAAGAGTGATGATTTTAGTATCAGAGTAGCTGGATCCAAATTCTGTTGCTGTTGTTTACTTGCTCAGGTAAATAATTTTACCTCTCTATGAGACAGATTGGATTAGATGATTTCTAAGATTACATGATTTCCTTCCTAATTTCTAATCCCGCATGATATAAGAAAGACCATTCTACCGCTGTGCCGTTAGGGTCAACATGGAAAGGCTTGTGCTTTTGGAACCACTGTCATATGTTAGTCATAGAATCACAGAACTGCAGGCTTGTAAAAGACCTCAATGGCCATCCAGTTCAACCTTCATGTAAAAAGAATATCCACTATAATATAACAGACAAGTGGTGGTCTAGCCTTTGCTTGAAGACTGCCAAGGAGGAAGAACATGAGGAGGAACACTTCTCAAGGCAGAAAATTCCAGTTCTTATTTAGTCTTCTGTTTTTGTGTAGGTATGGCAAGTCAGCTGTTCGAGGAGCTGCTTTGGGAGGATGGACGGAATGGACCCCTGACAGATGGCATTGAACTGTCTTTCTTGGTGTGACCAGGTACTGAAAGTGACTTGTTTATTTCCCTTCCTGGGCTAAAACTATTTAGGCTGACAGTAATTCTTCCCCCTATCTCTGCTTCTGTCTCCTCCCCTAGCACTCTCCCACCTCAGTTTTGGGGATCATCCAAAAGGACTTGGGTGCCAATAGGCACCACGGTTCTTTTATGAAATCAACAACTCAACAAGCATTTTAAAGTACCCATGGGTGTCAAGCACTCTGCACTGGGAATGCAAAGACAAAACAACAATAGTTCCTGACCATAAGAAGCTTGCTTTTATTGGTGGTATTCTATGCAACATTGCATAGAAAATGAAATAAAAATTATATATGAAATAATTTCTGGGGGAGAGAGGCACTCATAATTAGAAAGATCAAGATAGGCTTTCTGTAGGAAATACCTCTTGAGATGATCTTTGAAGAAAGCTGGGATTCCATGAGGTAGTAAGTCAGTGATGATGAGGGAGGTGTAGTAGGGACAGGTAGCCTGTTCAAAATCACAGAAAACTCTGTCATGTATAGGGAATAGTAAGCAGGCTGGCTAGGCTGGAATGCAGAGTTCTTGAAAGAGAATGATATTCAGCAAGCCTGGAAAGCTAGGTGAGAGCCAGGTTTTGAAGGATTTTGAAAGCCAGAGGAATTTTAGAAAACAGGGAGGCAATGGGGTTTTTTGAACAAGGAGGTGACATAGTGAGATGGGTGCTTTACCAATCTCAACATGGCTCCTGTGTAGAGTTTGAATGGGAGAGGGGAGAGTGGGCAGAAAGGTCAATTAGGAAGCACTTGCAATTGCCCAGGAGAGAGCCAGATGGAGTTTCCTGATGGGAAGAGGATCATTGGTTTGGATTGAGAGGGAAAAGCATGGGGTGGTAGGGAGGAAGGGGCCTTAGAGAAGCAGTTGGGTAGCCTCACTACCATGAAGATTGTCCTCCTTTTGTGGCTGTGGGTAAGCTGTGGCTACAATCAGCACCATTCCACTTCTTGCCACTGGTGCATGGGATGCCTGAACTAGTATCCAAATCTAAGTGCCCTTCAGCTTTCCAGACACAGCTTCCCCATCTCATCTGCTCCAATTAGTTTCCTAAGACAAAGGGAGAAGACAGAATCTTGAACCCTGTTGTTTGATAAAGGCTCTTCTTCAGTTGAACCCATAACCTCATGTTTGACATCTAGTCCACACCTCAACTGACAGGGTACCATATCTAGCATCCTGCAGTGTTGGAGCTGTAGCCAAGGCAGGCAGGAGCAGTGCTCCTTCCAGGCTGAATACTGGTCATATGTACTACCTGATTCCCTGCCTTGACTCCGGCTAGTCACTCCCCTCTCTGGAATCCAAATAAAGTATAATAAAGACTTTCTTGATTATACTTATTCTTTAAAGCTGAAGACACAGCTTCCAAAACATCTGACTGTCATGTGTTGGCAGATCCCTTTGTGCACCACACAGCGTTAACCTGGAGAGCTTTTCCCACTCACCTAGAAACACCTGAAAGTCCACCACTGCACTGTTCCATGCCTGTCTGCCAAAGTTAAGCTACCTCCAGAGCACAGAAGCCATGATGGCAGATTTTCCACTCTGGTGTTCCAGGCCCAGGGAGGCTTAGGATTGACAGTTTGTGGTCAATTTACACCTACCTCCAATGCACCTTCTCTCCCTGTAGGCATGTTCTTCAGAATGGCCTGGAGCAACCCCATAGGAACTTAAGGAGCTCCCTGTCTAAGGGTAGACACCTCTTTTCTTGTGCAAGGAGAAGGTGTCCTGGGGGTTCTTTTTCAGCACTTGGAGAGGAATATGGCACTGGCTATCTCCAATGTCCTTTCCATGAGGCACCATAGGAATCAGGATGGAAAACACAAAAAGAGATTGAAAATGGAGAAGAACATCTTCCTTTGCCCTCTTGGCTGACCCAGATTTTAATGTGCCTACTATTCAGATGACCAATTCTCAGCCTTTCTAGGCTACTGAAGTACAAAGTTTGCTAGCTGCTACTAGTCATAAAACACTAACTCTCATCCTTTTATATTTTAGCACAGGCCAACTTACCACTCGGGAAGAATTCAGAGGGAAGTAGAGTACTACAGATAGAGAATGTTGTCCCCAGACCCTCCATTTTCAGTTTTGGGAACTTCATAGTGAAGTTGATATCCCAGGAGCAGTCAGTGCACAGGAGGCCCAACAAACCAGTTGAGAACAATCTCCTCTTCAGGGACATGATTATTAGTCTGACTTATTCTGACAGGAAACTGATAGGACAACATCTAAGGAAAGAGAAAGACCAAGAAAGAGAATCCGTTGTGTGAGCTGTGAAAATATTTTGCTGTTACCTGGAAGAGCTAACTTGTTAATTGTATAAAGTAGCTGTGGTTGCAGATATAATGAGTTTTCTCAGATCTCCTAAAATGGAGTTACCTATGTGGAAGATGCTGGGGACCAGTATCTGGAAAACAGAAGAACTGGTGCATGTATGGATATCTTGCAATGGCCTAGTATGTGCTTGGGAACAGCTTTTTCTTCCCCCATTGGGTCAATTCTCCTGTCTCCCAGGAATATGTCCCCAGTATCTTCCACATGGGTGTCTCCATCTTAGGTGCATCAAATCTGAGAATGCATCAAATCCCCAGTACACTGACAACTTGATTCCTCCAAATTCCAACCTTGCAAGTCTTTCCTACAATTTTTTTTTACCATCTATTTAAAAAAAAGACATAGCTAATCACTAATCTGTAACTGAGATTGTCTTATAGAAAGCAAAAATTTGTCTCTAGAGTCTGTTGGATAATAAACCAGTTTTAAAGAATGTCCTTTGGTTGATTGTAAGCAATCTGGTGAGCTTGAAGATCATGCAGATAACCTCTTGACTCAGTCTTAGAAGCTTTTGACATGATGGCTGGGATACTTCTGTCTCAGACAGCAAGCCAGTGATGGGATTTAATAAGGTAACATCTTGAGCAAACTTGTCAACTGAAATCTGATTAGTTGGAAAAGCAGGAACCAGATGGAAACCTTATAAAAGATGTGGCGCTTTTTTTTTTTGGTAAAAATTTTTAAAAAATTTTAAACTTAAATACAAAATGAGAAAAGAAAAAACCACATTGCTATGCACAAGCAGACTGTAAGAGAGGATTCAATATAAAATAACAAATTTCCATTTCAAGAAACCTATATGATATATGCTACTTTTGCTCTATATTGTGTGCTTTTCACTTTAATTTTTCCCCCTCCCTCCCACCCTAAAGAAGACTACAATTAAGCATGGATATGTGTACATATACATAGATATCTATAAGCACACACTGTACTGTGCTTATTTCTTCCCATCATCTGTTTCTCTGAAGTTGGATAGCATCCTCCTTTCTAAGTCCAAGTCTTTCCATGTTTTTCTAAATCAACCAGCTCATCATTTCCTACACCACAACAATATTGCAATTCAATTATATCCTATCTGACAGATTGTCTATGAAACATTTTCCCCCCGTTTTCTGCATTCCTTTTGTTCTTGGCTACATAGGTTTCATTTATACAAGAAAATTTTAATTTAAAATAATTAAAATTATCCTTTTTTACACTTCAACAATGCTCCCACTTTATAATATACTTTAAGGTCTGATACTGCAGAATCTACTTCCTATATATCTTTTTATCCTGGTTTCTTTGAAGTTCCTGACCTTTTGTTCTTTCAAATGAACTTTGTTATTATTTTTTTGAACTCAGTAAAATAATTTTTTTAGTAATTCAATTGGGATGACATTGAAAAGTTAGATTAGTTAGGTAAAATTGTCATTTAAAAAATTATATTGGTTTTACCTACCCATGAACAATACATATTACTTCAGTAATTTAGATCTGAGTTTCTTTATATAAAAAGTGTTTTATGTTTATGTTTATATAGTTCCTGTGTTTGTTTTAGCAGTTATAAACTCAGGTATTTTATACTGTCTAAGTATTTTAAGTAGTCTAAAACAATATTGAATAATATTGCTTACACATAATGTAGTTTCTCTATTTTTCACTTTTTTTTAGGCAATTGGGGTTAAGTGACTTGTCCAGGGTCGCACAGCAAATACGTGTCAAGTGTTTGGTCTAAGGCCGTATTTGAACTCAGGTCCTCCTGACTTCAGGGCCAGTGCTCTATCCACTGTACCACCTAGCTGCCCCTATTTTTCATTTTGGATTAAATATATTTTAACTTTAACTTTGTCTGAGGTCATGATTACTATCCCTGCTTTTTTATGTACTAGATTCTATTCCTGCACTTTATTTTATCTTTGTGTGTATCTCTCATTTTTATAATGTTTCCTGAAAGCAACATGTTGTTGAATTCAAAATTTTAATCTACTCTCCAATTCCATTTTATGGGTAAATTAGTCCCATTTACATTTTAAGCTACAATTACTTATTGTATATTTTCGTCCTACCTACTTTTTCCTCACTATCCTCACTCTATTCACTCTATATCTCCTCACTCCTCTGCTTTACTTCCTCCCACTACCCTGACCTCCTATTCCTTAACCTATTCACCCACCACTCTACCAGTTGCTCCTTTATCCTCTCCCCCCACCTTATTCCCTTGACTTCTTATTTCTTTCTGAATTTAGAAGACTTTTATATATATTCATACATATATACACACATATGTACGTGAGTGTGTTCCCTCTTTAACCCATTCCTGATGAAAGCAAGGTTCCAGCACTACCTACCCTCCCCCATACCAGCTTCTTCTGCAACAGTTTTTCCTTTTATGCCTCATTTGTATGAAATAACTACTCCTTTTTAATCTCTCCTTATACAGTTTTATTGTTTTAGACTCATCCCATCATTCTTAGCTCAGCCCACTCTTTTCTTTTAAACTACCCAAATAATGATGACAATCATAAGAGAAATGCTAATATTTTCAAATGCATAAAGTAAACAATTTGACCTTATTGAGTCCTTTATAATTGGTCTTTATTGTTTACCTTGTATTTCTCCTGGATGTTATGTGTCAAATTTTCCCTTAAGTTCT